GAATGATCTCTCCATTAGAGATTCGCACAGAGGGCTCATAGGTCAACTTTATACATTAAGTCTTTATGACTTCTCATTCACAAGCTGTTGCAAAATTCTTTATAATGTAGATTTCCTAAGGTATAATGCCACACTTTCATTTGCTTCAATGCCATTTATTACACATGCCATGTGCCATTCTTCATTGTACGATTTATATACTCCACTTTTGTATCATTATTCTATGGTATATCCTAAACATATGTCCTCCTTTTTATATGTGAAAAGACAACTTGGACACCTATATTAATATACTGCTCAAAAAAAATGAAAGGAACACTTTTTAATCAGAGTATAGCATCAAGTCAAATAAACTCCTGGGGTATTGATCTGGTCAGTTAAGTAGCAGAGGGGGTGTTTAATTAGTTTCATCTGCTTTGGTGTTAATGCAATTAACAACAGGTGCACTAGATGGTCAACAAAGATTAGACCCCCAAAACAGGAATGATTTTACAAGTGGAGGCCACTAACATTTTTTTCCCTACTGCTGTTTTCTGACTGTTTTTCACTAGTTTTGCATTTGGCTAGGGTCAGTGTCACTACTGGTAGCATGAAGAGATACCTGGACCCTACAGAGGTTGCACAGGCAGACCAACTCCACCAGGATGGCACATCAATATGTGCCATTTCCAGAAGGTTTGCTGTGTCTCCCAGCACAGTCTCAAGAGCATGGAGGAAATTCAAGGAGACAGGCAGTTACTCTAGGAAAGCTGGACAGGGCCGTAGAAGGTCCTTAACCAATCAGCAGGACCGGTATCTGCTGCTTTATGCAAGGAGGAACAGGATGAGCACTGTCAAAGCCCTACAAAATGACCTCAAGCAGGCTACTGGTGTGAATGTCTCTGACCAAACAATGAGAAACAGACTTCATGAGGGTGGCCTGAGAGTCCGACATCTTCTAGTGGGACCTGTGCTCACTGCCCGGCACCAAAGAGTTCAACTCTCATTTGCCACTGAACATCAGAATTGGCAGGTCCGCCACTGGCGTCCTGTGCTTTTCACAGATGAGAGCAGGTTCACGCTGAGCACATGTGACAGACGTGAAAGGGTCTGGAGAAGCCATGGAAAATGTTATCCTGCCTGTAACATCATTCAGCATGACCATTTTGGTGGTGGATCACTGATGGTCTGGGGAGGCATATCCATGGAGGGACACACAGACCTCTACAGGCTAGACAATGGTACCCTGGCTGCCATTAGGTAACGGTATGAAATCCTTGGACCCATTGTCAGGCCCTACACTGGTGCAGTGGGTCCTGGGTTCCTCCTGTGCACCACACTGCCCGGCCTCATGTGGCAAGAGTATGCAGGCAGTTCTTGAAGAATGAAGGAAATGATACCACAGAATGGCCCCCACACTCGCCTGACCTAAATCCAATAGAACACCCCTGGGATATCATGTTTCAGTCCATCCGACACCGCCAGGTTGCACCTCAGACTGCCCAGGAGCTCAGTGATACCCTGGTCCAGATCTATCTGGGAGGAAATACCCAAGGACACCATTCGTCATCTCATTAGGAGCATGCCCTGATGTTGTCAGGCAAGCATACAATCACGTGGAGGACATACAAACTACTGAGTACCATTTTGAGTTGCTGCAATGAAATTTTAGAAAAATGAACTAGCCTGCTGCATAATATTTTCACTTTGATTTTTGGGTTGTCTTTGAATTCAGTCCTCTGTAGGTTGATCATTTTCATTTCCATCAAATGATGGGGCATCCTTACATTCCTAATGCATGACACAGTCCATATCAGTATAGATATCCAGCATGATATTTTTCCCAATTAAGATCTAATGTGTTTTCAAAGTGTTCCTTTTTTTGAGCAGTGTATTACTGAATTCTTCATATACAGCACTTTTGTATTGATATTCCACTGTACATTCTGACCATATTTCCTCCTTTTTTATGTTAAAAGGCAACTTTGGACATTTCAATGTATATTGCTTGCTTCCGTATACTTAAAACTCAAACATATTATAAAAGGAAAAGGATATGTCTTTGCTTTTACCAAGCATCCCTCTATTAAGGTGATCAAGGGGGAAATCAACTGCTATCTACAGGTATGTGCACGTGGACAATTTCTCCTTTGCTTTTGGCATTTTTTAGAGCATTTCTGAGGGATTCAAGCAACCCATTCTGCTGTGTTTCAATATTTATAAAGGTCCTTTAGAGTGCATTAAAAAAAGTATAAAACACTTATCAAATGCAAGCCATTTCCTTAAAAGCACCTGCAAGCACCTGTGGGTTTGATGCTCACATACACTGGCTATCTAATTCAGTACGCTACACAGTACCAAGCAGAATGCTTTTACAGCAAAGTATACTAAGACAACAAAAAAAAAAAAAAAAAAAAAACCTTCAACCTGTTGCAAATTGTCAAGATGGTATTTTTTTAATATATTTTTGTTGCATGTTTTTTAATTATATTTTAATAAAGTAGAAATGTATTTACCATTTCTTTTGGTAAGAAGACGTAGCAATAAAGCACACACATATCCTTAAACTGTTACAATTGGCAAAATAAAAAAATGACATATCTGATGTCATTCAGTAGCATTTACACAACAGTCTGCCTGGTAAAGGTTTTTTTTACTGGCTAATTCGACAAGTAGATCTGTTGTTTTTCGATTTCTTGTAATAGGGTGATAAAGTTTGTTTTTCTGTTCAAAAGGCTTTTTTCAGGAATAAGAAAAATTCCATACATGTTGGCTGACACAGCAGACTTTGTAGCATGCAAGAACATGGAGCAATAATATGTAGGCTCATAATCAGAAAGTATATGCACGTTCTTGCAAATTGGAGCTAAAGAATACATTAACAGTAAACCAGCTGAGGACTGAAACATATCCAGTGGTACTGGTGGTTAGAAGGTGAGGGAAAAGAAGAGTGAGAGAAGAGTGGAGCAGAGTGGCATCAAAGTCAGCTGGCAAGAAATGGACTACCCAGGGTTGCCAGAACTTCATATTTTTGGCAACTTGTCATAAAGGGTAGCATCAATTTTCCTGTAAATCACAGCAAGTGTAACATAATTTTTGACTTCAAGTATATTGAGGGTCACAGATTTCCATGCTGATGACAAAATTTGTTTTTCTTTAAAATCATTGCAGTATTGTACCTGTGGAACATGTTAGTTTAAATGAACTTTAAGTAAGGGTCAATCAAATAAAACTCTATCTAGATAAAATTGTTTAGGTCTCATGCACATTGGATGTTTTTACAACTGCTTCTACGTATAGAGGCATTTTTTTTTTCCTGCCTCTATACGGCCGTCCATGTTAGCCTATGTGTCCATGCACACATAATCTTTTAACAGTGTTTAGTGGCAGGAGAGTTTAGAGGCAGGAAAAAACCCACTGCCAGTGCATCTAAGAGCAGCAGAGTTTGGGCAGAAAAAATGCCTGATGCGCCTAAACGAGTGTGAACGCTAGGCACGTTTAGTGCTTCAGCATGCATTTCAATGGCCAGAATAAATTATTTATTCTGGCCAATTAAATAAATTACTGCCCAGGCACATGACACCTGTAAATGCACTAAAAGCGAAGTTCCACCCAAAAGGGGAAGTTCCACTTTAAAGATTGGTCCCCCGCACCCCATTAAGGATTGGCACCTTTGGGGAGCGGGTGCCCAAAATTGACAGGTACGCGGGTACCCACTTCTGCTGCGATCGCCTAGGCGATTGGAAGCAGAAGTTGTCCTTCTACCCTCCCTCCCTGTAGTCTTATGGGACATGTGACAGGTCCCAGAAGACGACAGGGCCATTCAGAAAGTGCAGCGCTACTCGTGCAAGCGCAGTTGGCACCCGGCTGTGCAGCCAAATATACTGGTGCCTGGAATACAGGAAGGCCAGTGAAATGGGCTGCGGCGGTGGCACCGCAGGATCAGGTGAGTGGCTGTTTTTTAAAAGTCAGCAGCTACAATTTTTGTAGCTGCTGACTTTTAATTTTTTACAGAGTGAGTGGAACTCCGCTTTAAACACTTGTAAAAGCATTAAACACATTTACAAGTGTCATAAGTTTTTTCTGCAAAAATGCTGCTGATTTCTAGGAGAGATAAAAAAAAATTGTTCTGTTTGTATGAGGCCGTATGCAACTACAGCAAAGGGTTTTCCTTTTTTGGAAAAAAAAAAATGTTCGGTATGTTGCGAATAAAAACTAACTATTGTAAACACCCCTGTCAGTGTTACATGGTTTGTCCAAACTGTAACAGCCACTTTTTACTGGACAGCATGGCCTTCTAAATAAAAGGTATAAAAATAACAGAACTACTAACAGGATCAACAAGGAACAAAAATACTGTATAAATATAGGGGGTGACAAGAACCATTATGGAAATACCATTGACAGAATGCATCATGTATGACATTTTTTATTTTGCCCATAGTTTCACTATAATCAATGCTGTATGTTGCTTTGTCTGGCCACCCTCCATCTGTTATTAATAATCCAGGGTATACTAAAATCTAAATGGGGTAAAGCTTATACTAAAGCCATTTATCACATTGCTAGGGCTAGGTATGAACTAAAAAAATTTCCATATGAGAACAAGAGAAGGCTGGGAAGAATGTGCTTGAGATCTGGCAGGCTTACAAAATTAGGCCAAAGATCAAATTGGTAGGCACAGTAATCCTTTAGCAACCAAACCAAATTAACTTTGCTGAACTCAGACCAATATTGTATCCTCACTGGTTGCTACGTATACTGGGCTTGCACTGTTATACTAAACACATCCCACAAGGGTCCTGTATAAAACGGGAGTAAGTGATGGTATACTTTTTATGAAACTTTTGCTGACTTTATTTATACAAAGCTTGGCATACAGCATTGCAATAATAATAAAAAACTGCATCCAACTAATAACCTATTAGTCTTAATTAGTGGAACTAAAGCAAACCACTGCATGTTCCAGAGGATGTTAGTTGTCCAAGTGCAGCTTTTTGCACCACACAGCTGTAACTTACCCCTTTCCTTTCAGCAGCACTGGAGCTGCCTTAGCCAGCTGCCGACTCTGTACTATTTCTGGGGTCTTTTGGGAAGACCTGTGTATCATGACAACGCAAAAACCACAAAAGCACAGAGAAAAAAGTTGCATGACATATTTGTTAAAGGGATTTGTGGCACATTTTAGAATGGCAAGTTCTCAAAAGGCTATAAATTTAGTGGAAACAGATACAACATTAAATAAATACAGAAAAGAGTTGGGATAAAGAACAGACTCTGTCTGCAATGTTTATCCAAGCAAGACTAAAACATATAATGATGCTGCTTTGTGTTGCATGAAACAGATGAGAAAGCTATTTTCTGCCAATGACTTCAACTTGTATTCTAAATCATCCAGTAAATGTGATACATTCAGTTACCCTTGCAGTAATAGGTTCTAGGATGGTTTCCTCCTAGGGTTCTTTTCACATTCACACAACAGCACATCCGTTTATCTGAATTCTTACATACTGAAACCACAATTATATGTTCTATCTTACAAATAAGCTATGATTCCAGAACAAGTTGCCTTTTCATATATGAAGTAATGAACATGCAGAGTTTATTCAGCCAGTCAGTGTTCGGAATAACACTAATGTATAACAGGCATTTCCATTTAGCAACCTGACTGGACCTTAAAACTAATTTACAGCAGTCTCAGTAACAGAAGATAGTCAACGCTTGGTTATAGCTCATTCTCTCTGCCAAAGATTGCCAACCAACCTTCTTTGCAAATCTTTGTTGGGAACCTATGGCATTTGTATAGATTCATTCAATAAGGTACTAATGTAGGATCTTTAGAATGAGGTGTTTTTTTTATTCTTTCCAATAGACCAAGGTTTCTCAGCCAGGGTTCCATGGAACCCTAGGATGCCTCCAGAGGTTGCTAGGGGTTACTTGAGCTACCAGTAATTTGTGCCTCTCAGACAAGTTCCCACTGACATCATTGGTCTTAGCTATCTGCAAGTGGGTATTTCTTCTTAATGTCCACAAGTGTAAGGAGCATTCTTCCCACTGACCATTACGCTAATTTATCAAGAGTTGTAGATATAGTAATTTTAGGAGGGGTTCCCTGAGGCCAGAAAGTAAATTTGAGGGTTCTTCCCATGTTGAAAAGGTTGAGAAAGGTTGCTAGAGACAGATACATGTTTTGATATAGGATGTAGATGTTTTTTTATAGGAAAAAAGTCAATTACATTTTAAGTCCAAACCCAGTTTAAATTATTACTATGAAATGTGCACTATACAGTGTACTTTTTGATAGTCACTTACACTGGTGTATGGGAAGTGTATGACAATGGTTTCCATGTACTTTTCTTTTTTACACAGCAAACATGACAAAGGTCATAGGAATTTAAGTGACATTACAGCATAAGCCAAGGTTCTCTATTATAGCAAGATCCACAATTCAAACAAACAAACCAAATAACCAAAAAGTTATTTGGCAAAAAGTGCTGCCATGAAGTGTAACACAAACCAAAACTTAAAAAAAAAATACAAGGGTTTGCTTTAATAGAACCATGCATTATGTTCTCCCTTAATAGAAAGAGAAATAGGAATGCATTAAGATAAAAAAAAATTTTTTAGCTGTAGTATCACTTTACAAAATACAAAAAATAATGTTTGTTTCCAGTATTTGTACATGTGTTTGGTTAAGACAAAAAGGTCTCCTTTTAACATGTTTTGTAAATCTGTTTATTTGCTAAGGTTTTGGCTGCATGTTTCATTGCTCACAATTCAATGCATTCTTCTGTGAAGCAGCATATAACTTCAGGGCAGATACAAAAACCAAAATGAAAATTTGCTGAATTTTATGTAGCTTATGCCAAAATATGGTATTTCAAAATGAACATCCAGGCATCAAGAATCAACACCAGCAAAACACACCTAAAAAGTGTAAATTATATTCCGCATTTAATTCTAAGAGTTCTTAAGATGGTCCAGAGAAATAACAGCAAAATATAATGTACATGTCTGAGGGACAAAAGCATATAGGAGAACACCAGATTTACTTTACCTGTTATGTTTTTAGGACAAACTTGCACTCTAGACAACTTACAGTATGTGCTAACTTACTATGTAGTCTACTTTATTGTGACAAGCAAGAAGCTACTAGGGTTGCAGGCTATAAGAATCTAGTCAAGGTAGAAATAGTTAAGTGTGCAGTCAAAAGCACTAGCTAGGTTAGTATTTGGTTTTCTTATACTGACCGTGGAATGCTCTGCAGTTGGCTTACATACAGCTTTATCAGAGAATGCTCATCTGTCACAGGACTAGTTAGGCTTACAGTGTCAAGTAACCTGAATGAGTCAAACAATGGAATCTGCAATTATGTTGTAAGAGTCGCATGCATGTTCCAGGAGTAAGTGCAAAAAAGCTTCCACGATGCAACACAATGTTAACATAGTAAAAAGTGCAGTACAGTGTGAATTTTAAGGCATTATTAATTTCTACATATGTTCTACATCATTTTACTAATTACCCTATGCCTCCTAAAAATGACATTTCCTCCACTGCAGTCCTTAGCATCATTCCTGCCTGTTTACAAACCTCTGATAAATGTACCTCTTCCTTGCCTTTTGCCTCCCTCTTACATATCACCTACCACGTATCTCTTTCCATACACTTACTATTCTCTTCCCATTAACTGTTATTTTTACAGCTCCCTTCCTGCTACCACTTTCTTTTATATCAATATCCTCCCCCTACCTTCCTCTTCCATACATTTGTTTTCCTTCTTATTGCCATTCTATTGTTTCTTCCCTCCCACCATTTTCTCTTTGTGCTCTACATGCCACCACTTTCTTCTGCACAGCTTCATTTCTCATTTCCTCTTTTACTTTGTCTACTTCATTCTTCTACATTCATTGCTTCATTTCTGTTTTCCTCCTTTGATATTGCTCCATTCCTGTTTTTTTCTCCTTACATATTGCATCACTCATCTTACTTCTTCCATACTGCTTTATTTCTTGTACCTACTTCTTCTATACTGCCTTATTCCTCTTGCCTACTTCTTCCATACTGTTTTATTCCTCTTGCCTACTTCTTCCATACTGTTTTATTCCTCTTGCCTACTTCTTCCATACTGCCTTATTCCTCTTGCCTACATCCTCCATACTGCTTTACTGCTCACGCCTACTTCTTGCATACTGCCTTATTCCTCTTGCCTACATCCTCCATACTGCTTTACTGCTCACGCCTACTTCTTGCATACTGCCTTATTCCTCTTGCCTACTTCTTCCATACTGTTTTATCCCTCTTGCCTTATCACTTCCATACTGTTTTATCCCTCTTGCCTACCACTTTCATACTGTTTTATCCCTCTTGCCTACTACTTCCATACTGTTTTATCCCTCTTGCCTACTTCTTCCATACTGTTTTATCTCTCTTGCCTACTACTTCCATACTGTTTTATCCCTCTTGCCTACTACTTCCATACTGTTTTATCCCTCTTGCCTACTACTTCCGTGCTGTTTTATCCCTCTTGCCTACTACTTCCATGCTGCTTTATCCCTCTTGCCTACTACTTCAATACTACCTTATTCCTTTTGCCTACTACTTCCATACTGCCTTATTCCTCTTGACTACTTCTTTCATACTGCCTTATTCCTCTTAGCTCCTTCTTTCATACTGTTCTATTCCTCCTCATCTCCTTCTTCTATAGTGTCTGGATGGAATCATAATCATTATGCTGCTTTGTGCTTTTTATATTAATAGCAAGCATGCAGTCTGCATACTGGATTTCATTAGAAGCAGTCAGAGTGAGTTCTTAGTTTGGTCACTAAGCATTGAAATGTTCATGTTCCCATCATAACTGCAGTGTTTTATTTTGCATATGTACAGATTATGAAAAAAATGCATAGTTATCACTTAACATGGAACAATAGCTCCTTAGACAGAAATGTGTAAATCAAAGTGTGAAAATGTTATCTTCATGATATCAGACCCACACACAATAAAGCAGCCTTTTTCAACCAGGGTGCCTTTAGGTTTCTTCAGGGGTTCCTTGGCAAAATGCCTAAAAATTGCCCCAAAAAATTGTATACAAGCCAGCAGGTGGATCAAGTCAGCCTTTAGTTATACAAAGTCACAGGTTTTCATTGTGCACCATTTACCACCTTCCAACCACTGGTGTCATTACAACCAATGACATCATTGGTTGATAAGGAGGATGTCAGGTGCCTGACATCATCCTTGTTTGCACATCCCCTGCCCCATCCATCAGCACTGGGGTCACACTAGATGAGTAATAGAGAGAAACACTGCAATACTAGTCACTACCAGTGTGTAAAGGTGTACTTGCTTTGGAAGAATAAATTACATTGGGTGTCCTACATTAGTGGATGTTGCTGCATTATGTAAAACCTTTCCTTTAGTTTAAACATTTAAAAATGGGGTGCCTCAATATTGTGCAGAATTGTAAAGGGTGCCTTGACTGAAAAAAGGTTGAGAAACACTACAAATAGATTAACCATATGGCGGGCTAGGTCAACCAAACAATGCAATATTTGCTACAGACATCACTGTGGCAAGACATGTCTTAGGCTGGCCATACATTTTACAATTTTCTTGTACAATATTCTTTCAGATTTACAAAAACCATATAATATGAGGTCAAACCTAAACACTTTCAATTTGTATGCAATCAGGTAGTCCCTTGCACTACATGGTTGAAGGTAAATCTAAAGGAAATTGAATAAGAAAATTGTATAATGTATGGGCAACTTAAGCCCTGGTTCACACTGAATGCGACTTTGACATTGCGCTACTTTACTTGAAGTAGCACAATTTCAAATCCGCAGATCAATGCAATTTGTACTTCCAATTTCACTGCAGCTTGCAACTTCTTTTAACAGATGTCAATACAAGTCGCAATGAAATTGGAAAAAAGTAGTGCGTGAACTATTTTTTAAATCGAGCTACTTTAGATCGCACTCATTAAGACAGTACCATAGAAATACATTAGATGCAATTTAAGGTCTGCAGCTCAGTGGAATTTGTACCTCAAATTCCACTGTGGCTTGTGACTTCTATTAACAGAAGTCAATGCAAAACGCAATAAAATCGGAAAAAAAGAAGTGCATGAACTATTTTTGAAATCAAGCTACTTCAAATCACACTGATTAAGACAGTGCCATAGAAATACATTAAGTGTGACTTCAGGTGTAAATCGCATGTTGCACATTAAGTGTGTAAACTAGCGCTAAATGTCATAGTAAACCCTCAGTTTTAGGCACTTTCAGCAGCTGATTTATTCAGGAGCTAGCTGGGGTAAAAATGGTAACAAATAGTTTATTGGGGAACGTTTCTTTTATTGTGCTCAATGTGTTAAGCTAAAAAAAACACTGAGGATTTAATACTACTTAAGGCTAAAGTAATGGCACTAACTTCACATTTGCAGTAGCTCACCAAAAGGCAGTGTTTAATACAAGGCTAAATAGGCAAATTAAACTGATAGATGCATGTTAATTTACTCAATCATTTAACCAAGAGACGTGTGTGCCATTGAATTCTGACAGCGGGACTCCTCTGCTCTCAGAACACACTGATCAGGGCTGCAGCTGCTGATCAACAAAAGTCTTTGGACATTCCCGTTAGACATAGGTCAGCTGCCAAATTACTGTTAAGCAGCAACTGCCATGGAACGAAGTCCAATAGTCTGGATACACTTTACTAAGAAAACGTTTGTTACATTTATCCAAATAAAGGACTGCTATGACAAAATCACATTTTCTAATTACACTATTTACACTAGCTATCTTTTTAGCTTTCCCAGGCAGAATATGTATAGATATTAATGGCAAAAAAAATCCTGAGGTACTTACATTTTGTTTGAAAAGTGACTTCCTGAGGGAACAGAGTGGGAGAAGAGTGTGTCATTCATGCTGGTAACTGGTCTGGGAGGCCTATGGGAAGGAGACCGAAACAATCTTCCTTATTCATAATTCCATTATAATTTATTCATAAACGCTTAGCATTTTGCATGTTGAGGTCAACAATGTTCCTTTGATATTGATCTGAGGCTTCCAAAAGGTGTTCTTTCCTCTCTGACCCAGTTTAATTCCATAAAACATTATGATCCAAGGACCCATAACTACTAAAATAAGTAGCCTATATGGGCTAGTAAATTACAACTTGTATACTACTGATCTCATCTAAAGCTGTAGATGACTCACTTGTTTTTGATCAGCCAGCAAGCTGATTGGAAAAAAAAATGAATTCCCACATTCACACAAGAGACATGTGTGCCATTGACAATGCTCCAGCTGCTGATAAAAAAAAAAAAGTCTTCTGACATTCCCATTAGACAGAAGTCAGTCGTTAGATAGACTTCTGTCAAGTAGGAACTGCCATGGATCAAAGTTTGGCTGGTTCCTTCTGAACCCGTCGAATTTCAATCCATCTATGGCCAGCTTTAGTTCAAAAGCACAGATTCTGCCATTTGCTGTAAAAAAATTAACCTCCTCAACAAGCGACTTCTACAATGCAAGTATAGCATTAGAGTGTTCCTAAACCCAGAACCCTGCATTCACTATATCTGGTTTCTCACAATTCACAGAACATGGAAATACAATTATTTTAACTGCTAAATATATATGTTCTCATCAGCAGTTATAGAAGTCTTGTGACTTCTATCAGTGTCCAGCAGAGCACTAGTTAAAGCTTGTAGGAGGAGTTTTTATTTTCCTCTCACTGTCCTATGAGACTGCATGACCCCTGAAAGTCTGTCTGGACAGTGCTGATTGGCCCTGTGCGGATCCCAAGCAGAAAAAAAAAAACTCTCTATCAATACACACCAAACTGAGCATGTACAGCTTGCCCCCAAGGCTCTGTTCCATCAGAAGGTGCGTCGGAGACAGTGGAAGAATAGGAGGTTCAGAGAAGACAGGATTAAAGATCCTTTTTACACAATTCAGAGGATTAACCCCTAAAGTTCCACAATGAGTATAACAAGAATGCTTTACTGCATATACAGACTGATTTTACTGTTGTGGGTTTAGTAACACTAATTGTTTAAAAACAGAAAAAAAAAAAAGCTCTCCAAAAATACACAGATTATATATTACCACGCTCTTCTGTCACTTTAAATGAAAAGCCTATATTAAAACATAAAACACAGTGCAACCTCTACAGGATAATAATGACTACATGTACAGAATGGATTGAAGTCAATAAGCAAAAAAACACAATAGGGAAAATTCAATAAAGCCAATAATCCTTCTTGTTATTGTACTGTGCCAAATTTATGAAGCATATGCAACACTTTTGGTAATGATAGTGAATCCTGCATCAAATTTAGGCCACTCTACAATGCGCCACGTTTACATTGTGCTGCACTGAATGCAACAAATTAAAAATAAAATATCAATAGTTTGTATTTTACGAAAGTGGAGCTAATTAAGACCAACTCTCTTTTGGCATACAGAGAGAAACTGGTGCAGACAGATTTTGTAAAACTGTTTTGCATGGATTCTAAAAGTGGTGCAGCAGGAGCCAAATTCAAGAACAAGCTCTAGACAAGTACATGAATTTGGCACATGTTGCACCACTTTTAGAACACATGACAGACGCTTTCTCAAAATCTGTCTGCACTAGTGTTTATGAATTCCACGGTATATATCATATATCACAATACTTACCAAGTGTCCCTTTTGCAGCAAGAAAATTTAAAAGATATATAAGTGTATATATACTTATAGTAATGTATACACATTTGGTTTTTTTAAGTTTCCAAACATTGTAAACCAATATACAGTACAACGCACAACATTGTTTATCAGGCAACACTCAGGTAATTTTATTTATTAGTTTGTGTTTGGAAATGATAAAAAGATGTAGCATAAATTAAAGTAAAATACTACTCTGTAGTCTTCTCAAAGATGAAAGCCTTACCCTCTATTTTGCACAGTTGTACAAGTTCCTTTCCTGTACTAAAATGGGTTACTCACTGCACACTGTAAGCTTCTCACAGTGTGCATAAGATTTTACATAGTTATTCAGGTTAAAAAAAGGCACAAGTCCATCTAGTTCAACAAACAGCAAAGAAAAAAAAAATAGAAAACCTCTATACACAATATACCCATAGTTGAACCAGAAGGCAAAAAAAAAAACCAAAAAAACACCATTACAGCATTACCTATTAATGTTAGTATCCAGTTACTATCAACTGAGCTGGCAAGAACTAGGTCTTGAGGGTGTCTATTCCACATTTTCACAGCTTACTGTGAAGAAGCCGTTCTGAGTGTGGAAGCTAAATCTCTTTTCCTCCAGACGTAAAGAGTGCCCCCTTGTCCTCCAACAACCTGAAAGCGAATCACTATATGGACCACCTATGATATATATATATATATATATATATATATATATATCATATCCCCCCCCCCCCGATTGCCTTTTCTTAAGAGAATAAATTCAGTTCAGATAATCCTTCCTGATGAAATTGCATGCTCCAAATGCTTGCCACGCCTACTGCTGCTGTACCTGCAGCTGACATCACTCCTGCAGGTCCTGTGGATCTACACCACCCAGGAAGTGCTGGGAGCCACTAGCACAGCCAAGGACAGTGCATTGGAAACCTGCCTGCAGCAGAACCAGCCAGGAGTTGCACAGCGGTTGATACCAGTTTGACAAGCGCTCATTTGACTACTACTATTGTGTATTACTACTATTGTGAGTTGCCAATTTTGTGGAAATAAATTTGTTTTTATTGCTGCACTTAGATGGCGCTGTTTCTCTCCTTTTTATGGTTCACACAGAGTCTCTTCTGGCTCTTTTTTAATCGGCAGCTACTGAGTCAAGCATTGCTGGATTATCCTTGAACCACCTTTGGACTTTAAGGACTTTACTTGTGTGGTTCATTTACTAGCCAATACATTTGGTCTTTTTCTTCTTAGTGCGCCAAATATCTATCTTATTGTTGGTGCTCTCTACTCTCCCCTGAAGTCAGCATTAATGGTTACAGAGCTTTATTGATTTGTGCCTTTTAAATCTGCCTGGAGTTCAGCTTTAAAAAAACCATACCAAATATTTTATTTTTTGCGCAGGTTTTGAAATCTTTATACATAAGCATCACAGTGGTGGTTTATACAGTGCAGTATTATAATATGGTTTGCACATAACTTCATCAATAAGGGGGATTTTTTTCCATACTCTTTGTAATGGCGTTTTGGTAGCACAGGAACATTATGATACAATCTCATGTCATTCTGAAGGTATTCAAGCCTGGACAGTAGATATTTCTGCCGGAGTGCAGGCTAGGCTTTTAAGTAAGCAATCCTGAATTTACAACCCATTTCTCTGCTACATATGGTTAAAATGCATACTAAAGAAACCCTAGAACCCATTACAGCATGGGAACTGACCGCACGTGTTAAGGTCATAAGGAAAGAAAAGTAATACATGAAGTAATGAAGATCATAAATGAAAAGCAAGCTTTCAGAGGGCAGAGACTAGCTGCAATCATGTAATGGCTGAGAATTATGTGTGAATTACAGGAGATAAAGTGTTTCATAAGACAGGCCTGGTGCCAGCATTCTCCTCTACAATGACATATTTGGTCACCTGAGCAATTTAAGGGCACTGGTCATATGTTCAAAGTCTGTTCATTCATGTGTCCTTGGCTTTTAAGGATTGGAGGTCACTAGGAGAATCAAAACTCAAACTTGCAGTTACAGAAATCCTTTAGCTTTGTGATATTTTTTTACATGCATGTGCTAAAGGGGACAGCCAATGTTAATGGTATTAAAACCTTAATTTTATTTAGGATGTAATGACACACAAGAGGTGCTGATGTCTTTAGATCTCACCCATCATAATGAAAAAAAAAATGACATGAAAGTACACGTTTAGTTAGCTTAGTGTAAAAAATTAAAGTGATAATAAAGGTAATTTAAAAAAACAAAAAACAAACATGTCATACTTAAAGTGTTACTAAACCCATGACACTGCATTCACTATATCTGGTCTCCCACAGCACACACAACATGGAAATGCAATTATTTTAATAAATATAAACTGCTAAATACCTTTTCTCATCAGCAGTTAGAGCAGTCTTGTGACTTCTATCAGTGTCCAGCCCACCACTAGCCAAAGCTTGTAGGAGGAGGTTTCTGTCTGCTCTAGAAGGACTGAAATCCCCTGACCTCTGTCTGAAGAGTGCTGATTGGCCTTGTGCTTATCACATGCACTCTCCTAAGAAAAAAAAAAACCTCTCTAGCAATACACACCAAACGGAGCATGTGCATGCCTACGGTTCAGTCAGGAAATAAGTGGTGGTTGCCTGAAAAAGGGGAGGAACAGAGAAAAAATGCTAAAACAGCCTTTTAATACAATACAGAGGATTAACCCCTTAGGTTCCACAGTGAGTATAACAAGCATGCTTTACTGCATATACAGACCCATTTTACTGCTGTGGGTTTAGTAACACTTTAACTGCTCTGTGCAATGGTTTTGCACAGAGCAGCCCCGAACCTCTCCTTCTCGGGCCCCCCCGATGGCATTCCTAGCTCCTCCCCCCTGCTGAGTGCCCCCATAGCAAGCCCCTTGTGAGTGCTAGCTCCGCCACTCCTCACTGGCTATGACTGACAGCAAAGGAAACCAATGGCTCCTGCTGCTGTCTCTGAGCCACTGCTCTCATGCACATCTATGGATTGAGATCAGGCTCAGGTAAGTATGAAGGTAAATTACCTTCAGCGTTTAGAATCACTTTAATGTACAGGTAACAACAGGATTTTCTTTTTTGCTAGGGCTTCTTCACACTATTCTTATAGGTGTAAAAACCAGGTCCTGTCAGTTGCAGATGTAGCATCATAAACAGCTAGAAATGTTGCTACTTTAAAGCTATTCTTTAAATTTCGAAACAAACGATAGTCAACAGTGCCAAATCTGATGAATAAGTAAGATGTTT